ATCTTTTGTTTTGTCATGAATTCTTCCCTTCCACAGACCTTTCTGTCTCACTAAGCCAACCTTGTCCAGAAAATGACTCACTATAATTTTTTTCTGCGTATTCCAATTAGGATTTGGTCTGCTACACTTTCTGGAGCTTTGTGGAGGATATGTGTTGGAAGAACTGGGCTCTACTTCCTGCTCCTCCACCATCTTAGCTTTGACCTCCTTGTCTTTCCTTAAAAGAAAATAATAGGGAGTGTAGAAAGAAACAAAGGGGTTGCTTAAGTTACAATAATAGCTTATATTTACATAGACCATAAGTCATCAAGCACTTTTTTAAATTTTATATTTAATTTATGGAATAAAACAAGCATTTTTACAAATATTTTCAGTTGATTCCCACAGTGAGATCTGTCATTTAGTAGGATGAGTATCATTTCCCCCATTTTACAGATAAGGAAATGGAGGCCCCTGGATATGCCCAGCCAGGTTGGTCCACTGTAATCATACTATATCACTTCCCTACAATTTCTGTTTGATTTCACCTGTAGCCCAAGTCGTTGCATAATGAGGAAGGATTAAAAGAGGAGACAAATGCAGGGTGTTGGAGGAGGTGTAAAATTGAGAGTACAAATTTAAGAGGAAAGGAACTGGGGATGCAGTTATTACCAGAAAGGAAGTCATCAAGTAAAATGGAAGTACAGGTGGACATAGGTAGAGAAAATGGGGACAGAAGACATGAAATGCTGAAATGGAAACAGATGGCAGTGAAAAGAGCCAGTCTTCCATTTCTCAAGTAGCTTTCATTTCATTCTCATTTTCCTAGAGTTGGTCATTTTCCTCTGTTTTTAGTGCACTACTTTCCCTTCTCCCCCTCCCTGCCTCCCAGTCAGTCAATCAGCAAGCATTTATTAAGCCCTTACTTTGTGCCAGGCACCATGCCAAGAGCCAGGAGTACATAGAAATGTAAAATACAACCTCTTTCTCTTCCTACCTAATGATTCAATACTTCAGTTTATCCGTGATCTCATCAATTCACTTTTCCCTCCATTGGTGCAGATCCTCACTTATCCATCCTTTCCCATCCTGTGCAATTCTTCCCCAAGGACATGTACCTCTACTTGATTGGCCTGATTTGAGTAACTATACTATTGACAATACTAAGATTCTTTCCCTTCAAAATATTCTGTAATTAATAAGCTGGTTATAATGAAAAGACTTGATGTATATGTGTGAGCTACTCTTATCCATTCAAAATGATGTCCAGTTAGTCCAAACTCATGATATTTTAGTCTAGTCTAAGTATTATGCTCTTCAAGGGCCCTTCCTGCTCTCAATCTGTGATCTTCTGATGACTCCTTTGCAAAGTCCAGTATATTCTCAAGACCTGAAATCCTATGTCTGAGTAACATGATAATAATAGTGATGTCTGCTGTTCAGTCATTTCAGCTGTGTCTGACTCACCATGACCCCATTTGGGGTTTTCTTAGCAAAGATACTAGATTGATTTGCCATTTCCTTTTCCAACTCATTTTACAGATCAGGAAACTGAGGTAAACAGGGTTAAGTGACTTGTCCAAGGTCACACAGCTAGCAAGTATCTGAGGTCAAATTTGAATTTAGGTCTTCCTGACTTCAAGCCCAGTGCTCTATCCACTGCACTACCTAGCTGCCCTTAGTGATGTCTGTACTCTTTTCCTTTCAAACCCTGCTGTCCTTTTCCATTATTTATGCAAGATGTTCATGAATTAGGATAGCAGAATGTTTAATGTTGAAGAGAGCACTGCCCTGGCACTATCTCTCCTGAGCCATGTTTGTTACCTTGGACATATATCTTCTTGGGATCCTTTGAAAAGGAAGGAATTAGTCTAGATCAAGGGCACCTTTTAGCCTTTAGATTCTGTCACTCTATGAAGAACACACCTTTTCCTTGTTGCTACAAACCCTATTTGTGTGACAGAAATAAAGTCAGTGGGGATATGAATACTCTCACTGTAGACTTTATATTCCTGTTCTGGAGCTACCCAAACAGATCTCATCTTAACCAAAGCACCAGGCACCCTCTGTGGCCCATCCCTCAGACCAGAATGACCATTGGAGTCCCAGCAAATCCCAGAACTCACCTGACCACCTGAAATCTCCTGTGAGGGAATATGCCACTCTGGGCTAAACACACACTGTTAGAGACCTGCCAATCAAAGTACTGTTCCTCAGTCTCTTACGTTTGACTCTGAAGTGATAATAAATAATAAAGAAGAGTTGCAAAGCCTTTTTCTTAAAACAGTCCTGTGTAGGAGGCACTGTGGGAAGGGGTGGGGGCACTGGATCCGAGTCAGTAGGTCTGGGCTTCAGGTCCCAGTTCTGACTTTCATTAATGGTTTACTCAGTTTTGTAATATTGAGCAACTGACTAAGTTCTCTGGGCCAGTTTCCTCATCTATGAAATGGGGAGATTGGACTAAGGGGTAGGGCTCTTCAGTCCCAGGAGTGGTTTTATCTGGAATAGTATTATCTCCATTTTAAAGCAAATGAGGAAACAAATGGAAGGATGGGGCTTGTCCAAGCTGAGGCAGCCATTCCAGCGCCATAAGGACAACTCAAACCCAGGCCCTCTCTCAATCTAGTGTTCTTTCCAGCACTCCATGATGCCTTCTGTAGCATTGCCAGAAATGATACTCAGTCTCTAGTTAGTGACTCTTCCATCCCAAATGTGGCCCTAGACCACCAGAACGAGTGGCATAAACCTCACTTTGACATACTCAGCACCAGCATCTCCTTTCCTCATTTCTTTTCTCCCCTTCTAGTTCCATTTCCCCACCCCATTCCCTTCTCACTGTCTACTAAGTAGAAAAGAATTGCTGTAGGTTGTTGGCCTGTTTACTGTCTTCTGTGGAACTGCCTATCTCTGCCACCCTCCCTGAAGCTAGAACTGGCATTGAACCTAGTTTCTTAGAACCAAAAATTTGCCTGTGCCCTTCTATGGGTAACAGTAACAAAAATGGCGGTGGATAGAGCGCCACGCCTGGAGTCAGGAAGACTCACTGTCCTGATTTCAAATCTGACCTCAGACACTTAATAGCTGTGTGAACCTCGGTAAGTCACTTAACCCTGTTTGCCTCAGTGTCCTCATCTGTGAAATAATCTGGAGAAGGAAATGGCAAACCACTCCAGTGTCTGCCAAGACAACCCCACACGGGGCCATGGAGACTCAGACATGACTAAAACAACTGAACAACAACAACAAAATTTGGGGGAAATATTTTCCAGATTATATGGTCTTTTTGTTTTTCCTCCCTCTCACTTCTTGTCATCTAACTTTTTTCATTCCTGTTGGTACCTCACACCGGGGGACCAACAGGAAAAGAAAGCATAGAAAGTGCAGCTAAGTCCATTTTAGTAAAAACTTTGGGAAATGAAGAGGAAATTAAAAAGGAATGGCTAAAAAGGAGTATGGGGATTATCTGAGCATTTCATCATTATCACCGATAATTGAATTTACCATATCTACTCCCCAGGTTTTGTGTCATGGACAAAAAGATCTTTTATATGAAGATCAAGCTCATACCAATGATGACTGATATGTCCAACTTTGTATCCTTCCAGAAGGAGCCCATTAGTTCTTCCTAGTTTATGAATCTTTAATGTTTTTTTCCCAGGACCATATTGGTCCAGAAAAAAGGGTGTCCCCCTAAAGTGAGATTTCTTCAAAAGGAAAAAAAAAAATACACGTATAGACTGAAAAATTACATCACCTACCAGCCATCGTCAGATTTTATACAATTCTGATTTGGGGAAATAGTGAGACCCAGAGTGGGACCAGTATGGTAATTCTAACCTCTCCCCCAAGCCCTCTTGGTTTTTCCCAGTCCAGGTTCTCTGAAATGTGACATTCTCCTGAATCTTTTACCTCTTCACCTTGCCTCCGCCCAGCCTGAGGCATTATCTCAGTTGTAGCTCAAGGAGTTCACTGCTCAGCAGAGGCTTTGGCCTGTTATCATCGGTGAACGCTCTGTGATATGGCCATGTGACCAGGGCTACCCAGGGATGGCTTGCACTTAAGATTATCTGATAAGTTGTCAGAATTTTTCTGTTCTGTGCTGAGTGACTGAGGTCGTATCTTACAGACTGAGGGAGGCCCAGGGCTTGTTTCTGGCACTGTGTCCAATCCCTGGGAGGCGTTCTTAACCATTTCATGTGAGTGATTTACCCCTTGGAAATCAATTCAGTTTTCTATTTCAGAAATTGCGTATCACCTTCTTGCAGCTGGCGAGACTGAGATTGATCAAATTCTCAGTATTTATCAGTCTGCCAACTTTAAAATACATTTCCCATGTTCAGGCCAGTAAATATTGGCCAATATGCAGTGTTGTTTTTAGTTCTGTTAAAGGCAAATGAACAGTAGTTCAATAGTTAAATCTGTGTGCCTTGCACACAGTAGGCACCGAATAAATGGGTGAATTTAGTTGAATTATGTTGAGTGGCCTTTGAGCTCTGCTCTTAATTGTTTCAAATTCCTTATAACGTCTGTCTATGCCTTAATCAAGTTTTGTTTCAAGGTTTATTTTGTTTCATGTGGATTTAGGCTACCATTTTGAGTCTTTGTGCTTAAATATAGTTCATGATAACAAGTTCCCAGAAGAATTTTTACTTAATATGCATAAAGCATATCTTTGCTGCAGTGTGATCTACTGCCTGGGTCCAGCCAACTGGGCAGGGAGGGGAAGGTGGATGTTATTCTTGTCCATACTGCTGCATTATAGGTGTCTGATTTGTATCACAATTCTTTCTGCACTGTCCTTCATTCTGTTTTGTTTTTTTTTAATACCATGTAGTAGCTGTCTTTAAATCAGTAGCTGCATACTTCTGTGTGCTAAGATTTTAGCCATGGGTTTGAATCTGCATGAGTGTCCCCAAGTGTGTGTGGTGTTTTTAAGACTTTGAAGGGACCATATTGGAATGTTAGCTGCTTTTTACTAATTTAAACTATACCTAAATGTTGTGGATGTTGCTATTTTTCAGGTGCGCTTTGTGAAAAACATAACTTCCTGGAAAGAAATGAAACCAGGGTTTTATCATGGACATGTATCTTACTTGGATTTTGCAAAGTAAGTTATCCAAAAAATACATCCTCCAGACTATTTTGTCCTTTAGCGATCAGAAATGCCTTGAATTAGTGTTTAAGTTTTTGTGATCATAATTTTCCAAAATAAAATGTAAAAAAGGACTGAGTTGCCAGTTTTAAACCTGTAATTCTAGTAAATGATGCTGTACCTTCTTATATATCACTGCCCTCTAGTGTTCCTCAATTGACAATTCTCATATCTATTAAAATTAACAGGCCTTGGGTTTTCTTTTGATTTGAATTTTTTTTCAATTATTCACCCTAATCACTTACAGGACAGTAGGTGACCATGGCCACAAAGGCTACGAGCCCCTTTCCTTGCATGATTGGAAGGCTGCTCTTTATTAGAACACTAGGTTTTCCTCCTCGAGACTAAGCAAATCATCTCAGTGACATGCCTCATTGACTAAAAGAATGGGCAAGCAAAACCTGCTCTCCCCCATCACCCAATAATCATGGGCCCAGTAAAATGCCCCCGCTCCTCAGCTCGGTCACCTTGAGGTTGATGTGATACCATCTCTTTGCCTAAATTATTTCAGTCTTCACATCCTGACTGATTGAGAAGTCATCTGAAAAAGAGCCATTCTTTTGTTCCTATTTCCATTTAGCTCTGTTTTAGAGAGAAAGAAGGGATTCTCTTTTATTGTCCTTATTTTTATTTTTTGGGTTCAAGGTATAATCACCAGAATTCGTCACTGCTGTGGAAGGAAAGCTCCATAAAGTTACAGGCCAGCCATCAGGGACTGAAGTCTGCGTATGGCTCCCTCTAGAGTCTGTTTGCGCCATATTAGGAATTAACCAGGAAATTGTTGGCGTTGAATAGTCTAAACACACACCATTTGGACTCATTTGAAAGTTCATTCAGGTATCCCTGGTAACTTAAGATGATGCACATTTGTAGCCTTTGAAAGGGGATTGAGACCTGAAATTGAAATCCAATCCCTTAGAACACCAGGCATTAACTTCAAAAGCACCATTAAAAGAAGAACGGAGATCACCACTCATCACAAAGTACAATAACGAATTTTATTATTTCGGTTTATGACATCTGTCTCAGAGCTTTCCATTGGTGGTCATGACTTCAAAGTAATTCTCCCCCAGGCATGTGCCAACTTTAATTAAAGGGGCTTAAATGAGAAAACTGCATTGGTATCAAACTCTCCATTTAGCTTTTCCTACTTTGAAGGATTAAAAGACAAAAGAGTATAAAGGAATCTTTTGGTTTTCACCAAAAGTTTTAATAGGAGCACAACATTAACATGAAGCTTAAGAAGCCTTAACTTTTTGGAAATCATGTAATTAAAAATGAATCTCTCCCCAAAGATCATGAATATAAAATTACATCATTCTTCTTTCCAGTATTTCCCTCTGTGTTTGGAACACACTCAGTGAAATGGTTGGGGTTTTTGTGAAGTTGGGTATACCTTTCTCTATAAATAATTCATATGGTATTATTAAAAACATTTTATAGGAAGCTTTAAAATAAACTAATTATTTTTCTTTTGGAAAGGCACCTAACCAATTTCACACAGTTCATTCATATGCATATTTCCCCTCAGGGCTGCATTATCCTTGAAGTAGATGTTTGTTACCCTTTCACCTAAATGATTTATTTTTTCCACATGTAGCTTGATTTCTAATACTTGAAGTTTTTGTTATTAAAATATATATTGAATGCTTTTTTGCTTTTGGCAAAAGACTCGTACTTAGAAAGAAGATCTGAAGTATTTTCTGGTATTCTTGTAGTTTAAAGTGTAAAAGCTTTTGGGGGGAAAGAATTTATCCTCTTTATTAAATACTGTAAGAAAACTTTGTTGTATATAAGACTGTTTCAGCATGAGTGATTTTCATGTTATATTGGAGGTTAAAAAAATTGCTATGAAAATTCTCTTTATTAGCCTTTTGACATTTAAAAATGATACTTCCAAACCTCTGCTCAATGTATTTAGTCCAGAAAAGTTGTAACTCGACTGGGAAACCCAGTTCCCTCCCAGGTTTTCTTTTCTTCTTTTTAAAGTAGCTCTTCATCAAAGTCATTGCCAGAATCTTGTTGGATAACTTGTTATCAATTCAAGTTACCTATGGACAGGAAGAATTTCCATTTTGTTGGTCAGTCACGTCAGACTCTTTGTGGCCCCATTTGGGGTTTTCTCGGCAGAGATACTGGAGTGGTTTGCCATTTCCTTTTCTGGCTCATTTTACAAATGAGGAAACTGAGGCAAACAGGGTTAAGTGACTTGCCCATGGTCAAACAGCTAGTAAGTGTCTTAAGATTGGCTTTGAACGTAGGTCTTCCTGACTCCAGGCCCAGCACTCCATCCACTGTGCTGCCTAGCTCTTCTAGGCTAATTTTTATTTTAAAAAATAGTTTACTTTTCTTCTAAAATCTTTCTAGGTACAACAAAGGCAAAATACATGCTCCCTCTAGGAGAAAGGGGGATACTTTGATGAGAGAATTGTATGTATATACAGATGGCTTTGTTACAGAGTCTTTAAGAGTCCAGTGTATGAACAAGAAAATGTAGCAATGGGCAGCAAGCCAGGGAGATAACAAGGCTGCTCCCTTTGATTTTCATTTGGATCACGAAGAAACATTTCTTTTCTCTGAAAGTTATTTTCTCAGCTCAGCCTGTGCTTTCAGATTTTAGCTGCAAAGAAATGTAAGTAAATGTATTATTTCATTTTTGGTCGTTTCTACATCCCCTCGCCATATCTTTTCCTTTTCTTCCTTCTTGTTCCTACTTAACTATATTTTTTTCTTATTTGGAAACAAATGAAGAAAAAGAACTTTCAAAATAAGTATAATAAACATCACAAATTTAAAGGATATTTTATACTTTAAAATATTTTTAGACACTTTTCACAAGATAAGAACAGAGGGAATTTTTACTGACCCAAATTTCTTTTGTCTTTTTATAATAAAAAAATTATCAATTAGAGAAAAAAATGTTAATAGATTTCTTACCCTGTCTTAGCAAGAGTACTCAGGTATCATCACTAATCATTTTCACTGCTTTAATTTTCTTCAAACCTATAAGAAAAACATTTAAAAGAAATTGATCCTTTGGAAAGCACTAAATCAAAATGAAAAAATGACAGTCAAAATAAAAAAGTTGCATTTTTTTTTTAATTGGGCCAGGTTATCTAGAGTTATTTGGCCCTAATTATGCTGTAGTTTCAATTAGCCTGTACTGAGACTTTTACATTACAGCTGCCATGAGGTCACATGGTCCATGGTCATAGTCAGTAGCAGAGTTCAAGTACGATAGTTTTAGCAGCAGCTGTCTTTGAAAGATATACAAGAATATTCTGTTTTTATAAATCTCTTTACCATGAATTCCTATGAGGATTTCATTTTTATTCATAACATTGTTGGGAGTGATGGGTTGGTTGGTTTGTTTGTTTGTTTTTTCCAGTAGGTCCTTTTCTCTTCTGTCCTTCACTTCATTAGTAACTGTCCTTAGCTGCTATAGCAAGGCAAGTAAATGCAGAGAAGTCAGGAATAGAAATGCCTCCCTGAATACTTCTAAGTCTAAAGAAAAAAAAAATAGAGAAAAATCAAGTGAGACCTAGAGTCTTTTGATAAACAGAATTGTGTGGAATGTGTCTATTGACTTGCACCTCTGGGTTGAGCCAGTAATAGTTCCCTTATCACTTCCTGTCTGTCTACACTTGACACCACGCTAAATCCATAATGCCACACGTGGTAACACTCTTCATTTTACTCTTGTCAGGGATCCATGAACAGGACCGATGGTCTTTCAGCTATGGAATCAGATGTCTCTGCGGCATTCAACACTGTTGAGAATCTAGTGCTTCTTGGAATTCTTCTCTCTTATTTTTTGTGACTTAGTATTAACCTCTCCTCTCTCTGGATTTTGGGAATTTAGACTAATGAGCACAAGGGCTTTGATCAAAATGTATGGTCCCAACTTTCTTTCTTACTCCCAGTCAATACCCTACTTACTGTGCCAAGATGCTGGACTCTTGGAGGGTTGGACCAATTGGAGAGTTGGCTTGAGCCCATTATCCATGTAGCGAGGGGCCCTCTTCCTACCTTTAATGAGTTCAAGTTGCTTAGACCAGGGGAATGATCATCTTTGGTACTGGCAGAGCTGGCAAATGTGAATGCTGTGAGCTGGTGACATCATTAATAAGAATCATAGAGAACTGGAAAGGTACCACAAGTCTAAAGGAGGCCAAATGTTTTCCCAACTTTATCAGATGGAAAAAGAATGGAGTCTGCAAACTGTATGCCAGTGAGATTGACTTTATTTCCTGCCAAAATTGTAGAGTAATATATGAAGGCAATGATAAATGAATATCCCTAGAAAAGGAAATGATGATCACAAAGAACCAACATGGTGGGCGTGCAGTGGGAGTAGACCGGAGTGTGCAGAGCATTCCTGGGATCTTTCCCACAGAGGTGGGGGTGGCAGGCAGAGGAGGGCAGTGGATAGCCCTTGTTTTGTTAGTCCCTTCTGCATCCAACAAGGTTCTGGGAGGGGAAGGGAAGAACGGAGGAAGACACATCCCCACCCCTAGGCTGTGGAGGAGCAGCTAGATGGCATGCTAGACCTGATGTCAGGAAGACCTGAGTTCAGATCTATTCTCAGACACTTACTGTGTGACCCCAGGCAAATCACTTAACTGCTGCCTACCTCAGTTTCCTTATCTGTAAAATAGGGATAATAATAGCACCTACCTTCCAGGGTTGTTGTGAGGATCAAATGAGATAATATTTGTAAAGCATGTAGTGCAGTGCCTGGCACAAAGTAGATGCTAGATATGTGCTTAAACCCCACCCCAATCCCCCACCATGCTTGCCATGAGCCCATCAGAACCCTTTAGGGGAGCATCAACCTCCCAGTTTTATGCTTCACTTGGTGTAGTCTCTGTGGTTGCATCTCCCACACTCTTGTGTGATTTTTACACGTGAGTGGAAAGCTCCCGCTTGAGGGACCCCTTTCAGAGCCTTCAAGGGGTTTTGATTTTTGGTTTTTCACCTGTTGTTAAACGGCTTTTTGGAGACTGCAAAAAGTACTCAGTGGGATGGATTCTCTGTGCTTGCCGTCAGTGGCACAACTATGAAGATGGGGTCTGCAGTCGGACACGCTGTACCTCGGCCCTGCCAGAGGGACGTCGTTTGGGTCCTCTTGGAGCACAAGGGACGACATCAGCCCAAACCTGCCTGTTCTGGCACCTTCCCACGTTTTATTGAGGATGCCCTTCTTTTTAATTTTTTTTTAATTTTTAGGCAATTGGGGTTGAGTGACTTGCCCAGGGTCACACAGCTAGTAAGTGTCTAGTGTTTGGTCTGAGTCCAGATTTGAACTCAGGTCCTCCCAACTCCAAGGCCAGTGCTCTATCCACTGCGCCACCTAGCTGCCCCCGAGGATGCCCTTCTTATGCAAGTGGATCCTTCTCACGATAGTTTATACCAGTGGGAAAAAACAGGCAGATGGGGTTCACTGGAACATCTTCAGTCATTCTCTATGTTGAAAGTATTGTCTATGTTTTTTTTTTTTAATTCCTTTTCTCTTGGAATGTTTTCCTCACTGGCTGTGAAGTTACATAGGTCTAGTTTATATTTATCCATATTTCATGTTTTGATGTGATCAAAAAATTTATCATCTAGATCCCTGCCTACAAATGATGAGCCTGTATTCAAAGCTGTTTCCTACAAGGTAGAATCACCCAGAACTTGTGATAGTGCCTTCAAGAATTCAGGGTCACTTCCATGTTACAATAAAGAAACCACTTTATTTCTGTGGAGGTCCCTGCACATAGCAGCTGCTAATTGAATGTTTGCTATATCAGATTGAATTGGTAACCAGGCATTAAGGGCAGAGGCTATGACCACAGAATTGTTTTATTCTTTCTGCAAACCGCTACTTAAAAGGATTATCTCTATAATTAGGACCAAGCTGTAATTAATTGAGCTAAATATCACAGATATATTTTTACTAGTTTTAGCATTCCTGTGTTTTATAGCTAAAGTTAGGGTATTTCATTGCCTTGATATGCCTGTGTGGGTTGTCCCCAACTAATGAAAGCCCCATTCATCCAAATCCCTAAGCCAGGAACAGGCTTCCTCTGGAGCCCTGCAAATATTAGTGCAGTAACAAGGATATACTGGAGGTGGAGATGTGCACCCCATACACTCACATCCCACTTCAGTCCCCTCTCAGTAATGCCAGCGGCCAGGCATAATATGGGATCCTGGCACTTACATGTTAATTACTGAGTCCTGGGAAAAGCTTTCTCCCATAGAAACAATGTTATAAATACCCTCCCATAAATGGCTCTTTGTCCCATAACATAGCTGAAATATGTTCTCACTCCTCTCTCTCTCTCTCTGTCTCTTTCTGTCATACGCACACACACACATACACACAGACACACACACATACTTCTCCTCCTCTTTTTTTTCTTTCTCCCTCTACCTTACTGTCTTCTCTCTCTGCCCTTTCTCTCTCCCCTATCTTACTCTGTCTCTCTCTCTCTCTCTCTCTGTCTCTGTCTCTCTCTCTCTCTCTCTCTCTCTCTCTCTCTCTCTGTCATTCACACACACACATACTTCTCCTCCTCCTCTTTTTTTCTTTCTCCCACACACACACACTTCTCCCCCCATCTGTTTTTTTCTGTCTTCCCTCCCTCTCTCTCATGGGTGAGGTCTTTATGCAAAGATATTTTTATATTTTTTTTCATTGTGTATATGCATACATACACATAGAGTATCCCATTTGATCACAACTACTTTGGAAGTCTATCTACCATTTATGGTATGTTTCTCTGGGAAGATATATCCTGATTCCCAAAGCAGCTGACTCCGAAGTCTCTACTGTCTCTGATCTATGAATATTTGAAAGTTGAAAAGCTGTCTGTAGCCAATTTTTAGTTAATAAGTGGCTGACTGGAGATAGTTTGCCAGCTACCTAGGCCCTGTATGCAGTTTTCCTTTTGGTCATTTAATCACTAAGACACAGTACATTATAATGCTAAATTATCATTAACAGTGAATACAGTAATTTTTTGTTGTTGTTGTTGTTTTTCTTTTTTCAGCTATGCAGTGGAGTTAAGTGACTTGCCCAAGGGCACACAGCTAATAAGTTTTATGTGTCTGAGGCCGGATTTGAACTCAGGTCCTCCTGAATTCAGGGCTGGTGTTCTATCCACTGCACCACCTAGCTGCCCCAAGTACAATAATTTAGGAGGGGAGGGGGAACCTATTATATTACCAGAAAAACTTCAGCAAAGAGGTTGAACTGGTACAGAACTTTGAAATATAAGTAGCATTTTGGATAATACTGCTTTTACATTATCAATATTTAATGTTTCTTGAATAAGCATAGAGAAGCTCACAAGGCCTGTTTCAGGCCAGGGGGCAGGAGTGAGTGTGATATGTTAGGTAGATGGTAAGAGACAGTCCTGATGGCAGTTCAGTATTTGGAATTAATGGTGGATGAGGTTGGGGAGGTAGGGCAGGTACTAGTTGATGGGGAGCCTTGGAAGTCAGGCAAATGAGTTTAGTTGATGTTTTAGACAGGGTCTTTTTCAGGTCCTTAATGAATGACATGAAAGTTGTGTGTTTGGAAGATTAACAGTGTGGATTGGATGGAGAGAGACTGGAAATGAGGACACCAGTTAGAAATGGTTCACAAGAGGTGAAGCAGGAGCCTGAATTTAAGGTGGTGCCACTGAGAGGAAAGGAATGGTTAGTTCTCTGATGTGATATTTAACATTGGATAAAAAATAAAAACATAGAGGAAAAGCTTAAAAAAAATGACTGGTGTCCCAAGCAAAGGGTCGGTGATGTACTATTTAAAAGGGGGGGGAAATTGGGAAGAGCAGCTGCTTTGGGGGCAGAGAAAAAACGTTCAATCAGTGAAAGAACAGTAGAAAGTTCATTCCTTTCCTACGGTTCTGACATTGATTCAAATTTGACCCAGCATCCATCTGACACTAGCAGTGTTCACCAAAGCAGAATCTTGTGGCATATTCTAGATCGCCCCAAGAAGGCAGACCCGTAATAGCTCTGGGCCTGGACGTTTGCTGTAGTTATTGATAATATTTCTCTTGTTTAGTGAGGCAGACAATTTTAGAAACATATTTAGTGTCGAATAAGGTTTCGCCGCCTTATCTGCTGCAAGCAAGTCATTTTGGAATGTAATAAAGAACGTGGATGCTTTTAAAATTAGAAACATTAAGGTCCTACCTAAAAATCTATACTCTCTAATTTGGAAAGGAATTTTTCTCCACAATTTAAAACCTAATGAAGAAACATTATTAAAATGGATGCTATCTTTTCCACTAGAGCTTGGCTGTGTGATTTTTAAAGTCCTTCTTCCTCTTTTGTTCTTTAGCTCTTATCTTTAACTGTTATTTCTTGTCCTTTTTTTTTTTTTGTCATGCCCCAAATACACATAAGTCAACAGCTGCTTCATTTGCGCAAGTAACCTCCAAAGAGCCTGCCTTTGACAAGACGTTGTTTTTGTTTTGTTCTGTTTCAGATTTGGCGTTAAAAAGAAGCCAATTTACATTAACGTCATAAGAGATCCTATCGAAAGGCTAGTTTCTTACTATTACTTTCTGCGATTTGGAGATGATTACAGACCAGGCTTACGGAGAAGAAAACAGGGAGACAAAAAGGTAATATTTAATTTTAAAGATTTTTTTTTTAAATGCAAAAGTGACTGTTTTCATCCTCCTTGAATTCAGTGGACAACGTCATTCCTGTATTTACTTTTTAAAATAAAATATTGATTTAAAATCTTTTCTTAACCTATGTATACATGTTCTGTATGTCAGTGTCACATAGACCTAGTAACATTTAATTACCAAAATATTAAAATCATTCATTAAAACACTGTGGATCTTTAATCTCTGTGCATCAGCATTTCCAGGGTCTGTGATTTGTTCAGGGCTGGGGGAACTAATCTTTGCATTGCTGCAAATTGCAACACCTCTCTGCCTTAGTACACTTACTACTACCTTCTAAAGTAGTTTGATGCCAAATGATACTTTAATACACTATCAAGAATAAAATTCAATTTTCACAAAAGTTGAAAATTCACCGCTCTTTCTCTTAGTAATGGCTGTTGATACCAGTTCACTCTTATAAATTCAAGCCGGTCTGCTTTGCTCTGGGATCTCTTGGTCAGTGTCATAGACTTCTACGGTGTTCAAAATTGGAAGGGGTAATAGAGGCCCCAGGGTTGAATTCTTTTATGTTCCTGATGAGGAGTCAGAACCTAATTGGTGGCGGAAGTAGACTAGACGGGACTCCAGCCCCAGTCTTCATGCTCTGACTCGTAGATCACACCTTCTCTTCTGCCGACTTCCACCCTCAATTTTGCCTGGTTCTTTGGGAAGTTACTTCTGTAGCTTGTGACTTACTTATTAAAGCTTCTTTGTGGAGATTGCTTTGTTTTTCTTTCACTCTATGAGGGTTCCAAGAGAGTGGAAGCGTAATGTCACCGTGTAACATATAGGAGTCTGGCCTTAAAGCCAAGATAGACCCAGGTTCCAGTCCCAGCTCTGACATATATCGGCTGTAAGGATCACAGGCAAATCACTTGACTTGTCAGTGCCTCCAGAAACTCTACAACTCCCCCCCCCCCAAAAAAAAGAATAAGAAGGGGTTCTTTGTGTAGTGGTGACTCTTCTACATCATCATCATAAAGCATTCTACAATTACTACCTCTTTTTGTCCTCCCAGCAACCCCAGGAATGTTATTATTATCCCCATTTTACATCTGAGGAAACTGAGGCAGACAGGTTAAGTGACTTGCCCAAGGTCATCCAGCTTTAGTATCTGAGGCTGAATTTGAACTCAGGTCTTCCTGACTTCAAGTGCACTATGTTGCCACCTAGTGCCTCTTGATATGCAAGGGCAATGAAAAGATACATCAGATTTCGTGAATACCATTCCCATGCGAGGAACTTTGAGGAGTTCTTTTTTTTAGGTTCATGGTAGTGTGGATAGAAATCCTCAGTTTTGTAAATGTGGTTTCTGACGTAATAACTTAGATGGACTCTTAAACTTGACTTATTCTCTGTGGGACAGATTTCTCTTTGCGTCATGCTTGTGCAGTATGCGCAGTCCTCCCAATTTTAACAGTGCATCAGGCAAATTCTATCATTCTTAACTGACAGTGCCTTACTTGTCCTCATCAGAGTAGTGTCGCTGGGGCTTGGGGCTGTGAAGGTCTGCAGAGGGGCCTTCCTTCTTCAGGAGCTTCTCAGACATGAGAGTAGATGGTCGGGACACTGTTGTAGAAGCCCGGGCTTGCTTGTATTCTTAGTGGGAACTAAAAAGGAGAGGAGGAGGGAGCTAGGGACCTGCTAGCCGGGTCGGTCCCTCCCTTTGTGGATGACGAACAATAGTCACTTGAACGCTCAGTGCAAATGTCAGGCTCGAAAGTTACTAGAGGTCATTGTTTAATCGTGGGTCGATCCCATGATTCCATCCTATTTTTGTCCTATTGATTCTGTAAGGGACAAAGCTTTCTGGTTTGTTGTGCTGACAATGGCTACCTTTCAGAGATCACAGGGACTGCTTTTCGATTGGTACAATTCTTTGGCTTCCATATACTGTAGATCAGCATCTTACTCAACAGGCAAGGACTAGTTGTCTGAAGGTTGGTGTTTGAGAACTAGATTGCATTTAATTCAAAAAACATCTAAGTGTACAAGGTACTGTTGATACAAACGTGAAAAATGACATTCTCAGCCCTCAGGAAACTAATGCATTTTTTTTAAGTCTTAGCAGGTTTATATATTTTCTTCCTAAAAACTGAAACAATCTGGTGATAAACTTATGTAACACGGAAATAATAGAAACAAAATGTAAATTAGCATTTCCCAAACTGTGTGACATATGAAGCTGTGGTATTCCATGCAATCACACATTGTGAAATTGTACTTATATCATAAGACCTGCTTTGATGCTTTGTCATGGTAGAGGAGTGGTCTAGAATTGCTGGGGGTAGAGGGGGATGGGGGCAGGAATTAAATTTCTTTTCTTTCTACATCACTTTCATTTCCAAATATACCTTTCCCACCCAGAGAACCATTCCTTCTAACAAAGAATAGAAAGTAGAGCAAAACTAAACAACATACCTGCCCAGTCTGACAGAATATGCAGTATTCCATACCCATAGTCCCCCACCTTGGCTCAGAGGGGAAGGAGGTCTATTTCCTCCTTTCTCCTTTACGCACACTTTGATATTTATCGCTCTAAAATGTCCACTTTAGTTTCTGTTGTTGTTATTTGTTTAAATTATTGTGTTCATTGTATAGATTGTTTTCTGGGTTTTGCTTAGAGCAGGGGTGAGAACTTGCAGCCTTAAGGCCACTCATGGCCTTCTAGGTCCTTAAGTGCGGCCTATGGACTGAAGCCAAATTTTACTGAACAAATCCTTTCCTTAAAGCTACGTGGCCTTGTGGCCACAGGTTCCCCACCCCTGGCTTAGAGCTTCTCATTTTACCTGGGTTTTCTCATGGCTCTCCATAAGTCCTTCAGTTGATCACTTCTTAGGATACAGTCACATCTCGTTGCACTCACACACCACAGTTTGCCTGCTCTCTAATTAACAGACATTTTCTTTATTTCCAGTTCTCTGCTACTAAACAAAAAAACAAAACTGCTACTACAAATGTTTTGTTGTCCATGGGACCTTTCTGTCTTTATCCTCCTTGTGGTATGCCCCTAGCAGTGAGACCTCTGGTTCACAGAGAACAGGCAGCTGTAGTCACTATCTTAGCATAATTCCAAATTATTAATAGATTGGTTGAACTAATATTCGAGTTCTACCAACGGTGTGCCCAGCTTTCCACAAGCCCTCCAACACTGACCATTCCTATCTTTTGCCATCTTTGCCAATCTGCGAGCTGTAATGCTTCTGCATTCTTAGAAGGCAATGTCAGTAGAACTCAATCCCTGGCAGAAACAAATTCGATTCAGACCTGTCAACAGGCTGTAGATCTGTTGTCCAGAGGCCAGGCTAACTAAGTTTGAAAAGGCTCACCCTCAGGTTAGCTAGCTACCAGGTGAAGAGTCTTTTTGGCCATATCACCTCATGAGAAATCTCCTTTTAAAGTGTCAAGGAATTATGATATGTTTCAGTGGAAGAAGACAGTACCCACAAAAATGAAATCAAGGGCCTTTTGATGTGTTGAGGTATAACTTATTGCATAAAACAATTTGTTAGTTTGAAACTGAGTATTATTATTGTTCAGTCATTTTGAAGTCCTGTCTGACTCTTAACCCCATTTAAGGTTTTCTTGACAAAGATACTGGAGTGGTTGGCCATTTCCATCTCCAACTCATTTTATGGATGAGGAAACTGAGGCAAACAGGGCAAAGTGACTTGCCCAGTGTCACATGGCTAGTGTCTGAGGCCAGGTTTGAACTCATGAAGATGAGTCTTTCTGATTCCATCCATTGTGCCGTCTAATCTAGCTGCCAAAAAGTAGGTGTAGTCTCCTCTATTTTGTTCTGAAATTTCCCCAAAGCCTCCTTTTATCTGTACATCCATTCCATAACCCTAGACCTCCTGAGAGACTGGGACTATGGGATATAGAAATATTTTTCCAGACCCAAAGTATTTCATAGACAAATCATTCAGAACACTTAAAATGAGATAGACCAACCAAGCCTCACTTTTTGGAAAATCCAGCTACTACTACTTAATAATATAAGCTTCTAATGATTCTCATGATACACATATTTCATGAATATTCACATATTGACTTTTATCTCCATTTTATGGTTTACACTGATTTTATTTTTAAATGTTACAAATGGGGGAGAAGAGTGAACATGCATTTATTTGGCACCTACTAAGTGCCAGGCATTGTACTAGGCACTTTACAAATATTTTCTCATTTGAATAGTTTCATAATATGATACTAAGATGGTTAATTATTGCGGCAAAAAAGGTGTTGACCTCTGTGTACTAGGTTACAATCAGACGGCGTCAACCTGAAATGTGATCAGAGGCACTTGAAAGACCACGATCCCTCCGTCTTCTTGCCTCTTGTTTCTTACCATGTCACTAACAGCACGACCCTCATGAACTGAGAATTCACTTCACTTTGGAACGTGTTTATTTTGCAAATGGAAGCAACGAGGTTTTAGGGAATCCAAAATTAGTGACACCTGATGCCAGCTGCTGCTTCCAAGGATTGCCTAAGACACCCTGAGTGACCTGCTGAGTAGTTCCCTTGACCTCCTGGATATCCTTTACCTTTGAAGCAGGATTCTAGGATTTCATCTCACCAAGGCATCACGGTCTGTAAAGCCTGCTCCCGTCCCTTCCAGTCAGCGCAGACACTGAGTTATCAGCCAAAGCCATCTTCACCTTCACTTGGATGCCTAAGTAGCATGACCTTTCCATACCTCCGCATCAAATGGGATTTTGGGCTTTTTCCATGTATGCTATACCCTAGGGTATCCACAATGCGCTAGAGAAGCCTTCTCTTGTTCTGAAATTTGATGGGTGACAGCACCCAGGCATGATCCATATGTGTTTTCCCTCACTCTCACTGATAAGATTTATATATGTGAAAAATCAGAATTTCATTTTTCACTTTTATCTAATTTTACTAATCTAGGGTACTAAGTTTATTACTTGTAATTTATTAGACCAGTTATAACTCTCAGTTGTGAGGGGTCCCATGTGAAATTCTTTTTTTCTCTGTGGTCTGAC